AAAAGAATATTCCTATTGGGGGCTGGCAGGTGGCGTGCTGGTTAAGGGCGCTGGACTCCCACATCACCAACCACAGTTTGAGTCCCAGACCTGGTGCTTGCTTCTTGCTCCCACCACCACCTCACTCTGTCCCTCTTTGGGCAACAAATAAATAAATAAATAAATAAATAAAATATTTCTTAAAGAATATAAACTATCTTTTGTTATTACTGCTTCTGGCAACTAAGTCACCTAATCAGTTGTAGAAGAAAAGTAGTATAAAAATGTCACTGTTAATATTAATTTTAAAATATGAAGAATGAAGTAAATATTGTTAGGTCAAAATTAGGACTTAGATAATATTTATTGCCTATCATGTCTTTAAAACTACGTCTTCGGGGCTGGCAGGTGGTGTGGCGGTTAAGAGTGCTAGACTTCCACATGGCCAAGCATGTTTCGAGTCCCAGACCTGATGGCTTGTTTTCTGTCGTCCTCTGCCCTCTCTGGTCAAATTAAAATAAATAAAGTCAAATAAAATAATTCTTAAACAAAAACAAAACTACATTCCTCACTGATGAAATTTTTTTTATTTTATATTAATAAAAAGGTTTAAAGCAGGTACTATTCTGTTTAATTATAAAAAGTTCTGCCGTCAGGCTGGACCCCACATGGCTGACTGCATAGTCTGAGTACCAGACCCAGCTGCTTGAGAAACATGCCAAGAGCGTGTGCATGCCCACATCACAGCAGGATGAAGAAGTGGAGAGGGAACTGCAGCATGACCACACCGTGGGGAGTGCTTTCTCCCGCCCTCTCTGGCCAGTGCCTTTGCCCTCTGGCCAGGTGGGGAAACGAACAAACAAACCAATCCTGCTGTCACTGTAATCCTTCTGACCAATCCTGATGATCCTAATGAATGTGACTTGAGGTAAATAACCCTTGGAAAAGAAGAAAGCAAGAGTCAAAGAGAGGGCTAAAAGTACCCTCCGAATCTGTCTCAGTGGAAATTTGAAATAAATGAAATGAAACTAAATGACTACTCCAAGACTTGTAGTAGTTATATTCATCTCTGAAGAAGTGTCAATTCTTAATTTTTTTGACTGTTGCTTCTCCAAAGTAAACTCTAAATCCCACATTGTTTTTCTGCCTATTAACATATAACCCAGGCTACAACTAGGTCTAATCTCAATGGAAGTAACCCCACAAAATAAAAGCATAACTATTTCATGATCAAGACAGGCAAAACTGTTAGGTTCTGACACATGTTTCTAAATTAGCTAATGGACAACAGCAAAAATACTTTAAAATGAAAGCTCTTCAAATTTTTGGGGGGCCAACTGGTAGCATGGTGTTTAAGGCAGCTGGATGCCACATGGCTGACCATAGTATGAGTACTGGACCTGGCGGCTTAAAAAAAAACCTGGGCATGTGTGTACATGGCTAAAAGTCCAAGGGAGGACGGGGAGAAAGGACTGTCGCCTGCCACCCCGGGGAGCTTCTTCACCTTCCTTCTCTGTTTTGTAACACTCTATAGAACGTTAAAGACAGACAAACCAACTTTTGTGTATGTCCATAGGTCTTCGCCATCTTACCCAAATAACCATCAGGAACTTACTGTTCTTTCCCCTCTTGCTGTAGCACTACCCAGAGCATAACGAACAGAAACTTGGTGTTTCCAAGTTTAAAGGTTGTCTTCTAGTTTACTTTGTCAACAATACGCAAGCTGTTCTGCTCCAGAGAATTTAAAGTCAAGAACTGTGGTCACAAAAAACTATATTACATTCTAAGGAAAAGATTAGAAGATTATTTATCCAGTAGCCTCTTTATCCTCATAATTTTTTTTTTAATTACCATCACAGGAAGTCCACAAGAAAATATTTAGCATTAAAATACAGAAGTCACTATATATAGGATTATTCAGGTGATCAAAAAAAAATAAATAACTCCTTTCCAGTGGAGGCCCATACACAACAAACTTAACAGTTAATCACAGTATTTCACTATGTGTATCTTTTTTTCCTCAAAATACTTATATTATTCAATCTAACTGAGAAAAAGATCACTGTTCCTAAATCAAACTGAAAGCTGTGACTTCAAAGTTTACAGCGAGTAGCACTGTTAAAGAATCAAAGAAAATGGCTAATATTGATTGCTGATTTAAAAAAAAACTAAAAAAAACCCACAGAAACATAGCAGACTTCTCTGTCCAGATTAGAGAACACACACATACATACAAATATTTATTTATATACATAAATTCATCATTCTCTATCTGTAGAAAGTGAGGCAAATAAGAACAAACATTAAAAAAAATTTAACTGCAAACAGAATTACAATATTATTTTCACATTAAACATGCATTTAAAAATGTCTTCACATTCCTATTATAAGAATGTATGCTTGTCAATAATTTTCTCTTAAGAGAGATTTTTGCTATAGGGCACTTGCACTCACCAGAGACAGAAAGAGAGAAATCAACCCCCAGGGGGGTGGTCATGCTGCAATCCCTTCTCCAGTCTCCTCTTGAGATTTTGTGCACACGTGTGTGCCTGGCATGAGTTTTAAGTCGCTGGGTCTGGGACTCGGTTGACTATGTGGGAGTCCACCAATATAACCATTATGCCATCTGTTGGTCCCCTGTCATAATATTTTTTAATTTAACTGTATTTATTTATTTATTTTAATTTGATAAGAGGACGACAGAGTGAGAGAGAGAAAGTAAGAAAGCAAGCTAGCTGCCAGGTCCAGGACTCGAACCACGGTCAGCCGTGTGGGAATCCAGCGCCCTTAACCACCATGCCACCCACTGGCCCCTTTTCTTTCTTTCTCTTTCTCTCTCTCTCTCTCTGAGAGAGATTTATTTTAAGAGAGATTTTTGCTATAGGGCATGTGTGCTTGCCAGAGAGACAGAAAGTGAGAAATCACCCCTCAGGGGGGATGCCATGCCACAATCCCTTCTCCATTCTCTCGGGATTTTGGGCACACACGCACGCACACCCGGCCTGAGTTTTAAGCTGCTGGGTATGAGACTCCAACTGCAGTCAACTATGTGGGAATCTAGCGACATAACCATTATGTCATCTGCTGGTCCTTTCTTGTCAAAACTGTTTAAAAAAATTAAAGCCCTAAAACACTAGGGGTCTTCCTGCTCTACCATAATTAGAAATACATTTCGTTCTTGTACCCTTACCTTCTTCAAATGGCACACACACAAAATACACTATATAATGCACGCACAGGTTAGTAAGTTCACAACCACATATTCTTAAACACAGTGTCGTTCACTGCAAGAGAAGAGGCCACAGGCATGCTGGATGAGAGACAATCAGGGAGAGAGGACCATGGCAAGGAGAGGTGGCAAGCACCGTGCAGCGTGATGGCCATGAGGCTTAGAACGAACACCCGGCTCGGGTCGCCCCCAGACATCTCGGTCGTAAGTCCCTGAAGCAGGAGAACACAGTAGCTATAGTAACTACCTTTCAGTTTGTTTCTGAAAGGAATGGTTAAGCAATCAAAGTCATCCTCTCAGAGAAGGGAAGAGGCTATCACAGTTTGGCAAGAAACCATACAGAACTTGCAAAAAGGTCTACAGCTAAAATTCTCCTGCTTCTTGGACCACTCCAAGTTGTTCATTCTAGAAGCCAAATGCCAGTTTACTTTCAGCAATGTGTTTTAGGAAATGTTTTCATGGATAGCATGTAAAACATAAAGCCATGCTTGAAGGAAAATGTTATAATGGTTCTGAAGTTTTTGTAAAAGTCTTCTTCCATACCAATCCTGAATATAAAACAATCCAAATTAGCAACCTAACTAAACTCATATTCTAAGTGTCATAAAAACTACAATTAACACTTGCATTTTTCACCAAAATAATAAACAAATAAAGATAAAAAGTAAGTCAAGCACAAATCCTCAGGCAGGATCAAATATATGATAGCATGACTCTGGTTCCATAACTACTACTGGGTTGTCAGAAAAGTTACAATGTATTTTTCTTTGTTTTTCCATGCAAAAATGCATTAGGAGTTTTCCAACAACCCAGTACAAAGTAGTCTTTAACAGACACAAGGGAGGCATAAATGCTTCTAAAGAAAATATACAGAACACATCTCCCCAAATAAAGCTGTATAGAAAACTACAGAGGATGGGGAAGCCTAGAGAGATTTTCATTCAGTAGTTAAAGGTAGTCTAAGGCATTTCTGATTAATACCCTTCTTTGAAAATCACAGACATATCAAAACTTTTTTTAATTAAAAAAAAAATTTTTTTTTGGGGGGGGGGGGAGGTCAGAGAATATATAGTACACCCGAGGCTGCTGAAGAACATTACAGAAAAAGATACAAAGCCACACCGTTTCCAGCTTAGGCCCAGCCACAGTGGCCCAGCAGCAGCACAATGAGCTGCAATGCTGGATACAATATGGAGGACGGGGTTGGTTCCCAGGATGGCCTGGACGTGCAGAGCTCTGTGATTGTGGCTGGCTGGGAAAGCACGCGGAGATATGACTGTGGCATAAGACCCTTAATAAGGGGATGTCTGTCTCACGAAGTAAATAAGCTTTAAACAGTTCTAGCTCTGATTATTTGCAAATGATTTCCTTTAGCCTGTTCTTAATTTGACTCAGTAGACACTTACTGAGGGCCTGCTGTGATAGCGCAGATGGCATTAAGACCCAGTTGGGGGTTGGTCTCTCCCTCCCTCTCTTTCTCCACCTTTCTCATGTGAAACAAAGAAACAAACAAAAAATATTTACTGAAGACACTGAGCGGCAGTAAGAATCATTATGAGAAATAAATTACTGCTACATAAAGATCCTCCTTTCTCTAACTAAACTAGGTTATCTACAGGAATATTCAGCAGGCAGGGAAAAGAGAAAATGTCTACAGTGTCTAATAAAATGACATTTTAAAACTTTACCTCATCTTAAAAAAATATCACTAGATGGCGGCTTGTGGTTTAAGAATATTACGGTCCTGGGCCAGATAAACCTAACTTTGAATTCTAGTTCTAGGATTGTTTCTCATCTGTAAAAACTGAAGAGAGAACATAAAGACACTCCCACCTCTTAAGGCTGGTCTCACAATTGGAGCATGTATGTAAAGTGCCTCGCAGTGTCTACCATAGCGTCCGCACTGACGACAGTGCCCACTGCTCATCTCCATTTTGTTGTCTGGCCACCGTATCAGTTTACATCTCTATGGGCTCATGAATGCTGTACGTGAGGCAGTGTGATCAAGTGGAAAAACACTCCTCTTAAAATCAGAAACCCTACTTTCCGCTCTCCACTCTGCCATTCATTAAATGCAAAAAGCACAACCTTGGCAAGTCAACTGAGCTGTTTCTTTATGTGCAGAATGGAATCAGAATTGGACCTTGGAGGTGTTTACCTACAGCCTTGCAGAGCAGAGCAGACCACCAGATATTCTGGAAATGGCTGCCAGAGATTTTGCAGGTGAGGCTCTGACTTCCCAATTCTTCTGTCTAAAGCCTGATGCCTAGTCCAGGGTCTGTAGCTTTGAAGCTTTACAACTCAACTCAGTGGTTGTTATCTATATTGCAAGAAAGGAAAAATAAAAAGGCTTTTCTTCCCTGTTGATACCGAAAGCGGGAGTTGCAATCTGCAGAGATCTTGTGGACTCTGTGTACAAAAGTGCATGATGGGCAAACGTGTATACACAGGTTCAAGATGGTGGAGAATTACAGCAGCCACATGAGCCCTGAGAGCAGCAGGGCACTCGTCTTTCCTGTCCTCCTCTGGCAGGGTTTTTCAGCCTCAGCACTACTGACATCTTGAGCTAGCCTATTCTCAGTCGTGAGTTGTCCTGGGTACTGCAGGGGGTTTACTCAGCAGCATCATCCCTGGGCTCTATCTGCTTTAGGGAATCAGCAACCCTGCTCCCTCAACTGTACCAAAAATGTCTCCAGACACTGCCACATGTCCACTGGGAAAGCTCCCTGATTCAGAACCATAGCCTAGAAGGCAGAACTTCACATGACAGACACGAACTCTTCAGGGAATGGAGGGCAAAGACTTAAAGTAAATGACATAATTTTTTCCACTTAATTTTTGGTTGAAAAAGCTAGGAGAGATTCCCAATTCAAGTATTTTTAAGAAGTTTTAAATACCCACATTGGACTAGATCAGTGTATAACTCTTCTTCAGAATATGTATTTCCTCTTCGGATCAACAGTCAGAGATCTCTGGACAAGCGGAAAGCTCCACTACACTACTTCCCTTGGCTTGGGCCTTGTCAATATAAATATTTCACATGAGGACAAAAAATTGAGCCAAGATATTAACCTTTTGCAGTACTGAAGAGGGTAAATAAGAGAAAAAAAAATAGACACGAAGAAGGTTTAGTTTAAGAACCTGAGCTCCAAGTATAGCTTTGATCGTACCCATTCTAGTATGAGCATTTCACTACTTTGAGAAAAAATTAAAGCTGATTCCAGACAGCCCAACACTATTCATCAGAAGCATTAGAAATAAAACACTCTACGGGACTGTTAGAAAACAGTCCTGTGGTATTACACTCGGGTACCGAGCCTATTCATCACCAAAATAAAGCTCAGAAAGTTGCCACTTAGGTAACAGAAGTCTAAAAATAAGTGAGTGACCCAACTCTGAAATGCCAGGGAGAACTCTTAAACTCTGCAATCTTCCCTGTGGCCTAACAATGAGAAAGAGACCTATAACTCACACTCATAAAGCCTTATCGCCTACTTACAAACAGCAATGGATTAGATGGGGGAGTGGAAGATTTTATACGGTCAAATTCTCCACCAAAAAACTGGCTCACAGAGCTTTAATTTACAGCTATTAGTTTAATAAATAAGTCTAATCCATATTTTCTATCAAACACTGTCCTCTAACATCTTAATGCTAGGAAAGGCATTTTATTCATCTGTTTCTCTTCTCTTCCACAGAGCTTATGCTACCTTTAAGTAATAGGTTATTTACTGGACCCAAAAAGTCAAAAGTCCTAACTTATGGTTTGTATGAAAACGGACACATCATTTTCTGAATGATAAGACGTATGTTGGGAAACATCAAAAGCCACCCAAAATCAAGGTACAGTTACTGACAAGAAATCAGAAATAATTTCTCAAATTTTTGGCCTTTGAATTCAAGAAGCAGCAATTTAATTTTAAAACTTTGTTTTCATGAATCTCATTCAGTTTCTAGTGGGATTCATGAAAACAAAAACCAAAATTTAAAGTAGACAGAAATGGAAAAATTAACTCTCACCTTTGAGAACAAGACCTTTACACACAGAGAACATTAGGATTGGAATGGAAAAGAAGCTTAGGAAATTTCTGAAGTCCTGAAAAGCATGCAACAAATGTTTGCCATGAATCTTCTAAGACTTCTTGTAAGAAATGAAATGCCAGGTATGAGGAAAAAAGGTTGAAGCAAGACAAACGAACACCCTACAAAATGCAGAGCACAGAACTAAAAGGGCCTATATATAAATGAGAAATTGATAGCAAGTGCTAGTTTCCAACCTGCGGTGGCTGTGTGATGGTGAAGCGATATTCTCCTTGTTTGTCACGATTGAACACAACTTTCCAAAGGACCATGTCAAGGAAGAAGTTCTGAGAGATATTCCAGTGAGTTAAGAATTAAAAATGAGACCACATCATTCTTTATTAATGTGTACCTTTAAAAAAGGCTCACCCAATGCTGCATCATTATTTAAAAAAAAAAAAAAAACATAATATGGTTTTCACACAGACAATTTCAGTTACTACAACAGGACTTTTGTAACAAATATAAACCATCATAAAATTCTTAATAAAATGGAACTTCCTAATTTCTACAAAACATGGCTCTTACATGAATTCTCCAGTCTTTCCATTGGAAAATAGTAATTACAATGTGCAGTTTTTTCTTAACAATGAGTCATTTTCATTGAGTATCTAATATTCTGTTAATCCATATATATCTACTAATGGCTTCATAGTGCCCAACACAAATAATTCTTTAGACAGTAAGAATAATAAATAAATAACATTTGAGTCAGAAAAATAAATTTACACTGTAGAAAAAGAAACACTTTCAGAGCACAATATCTTCTATAAAATAGAAAAGACATTCCACTAGGTAACTTAATAAGGTTAGCACCATAATTTCCATGTTGTCTACCATATCCAAATTTAACTATCAAGTCATCTTCCAGGATAATAATGGAAATTAAGCATAATTTTAAGTCTAGACCTATTATCACTAAAATATACACATTCCCCCACAAATTACCTTAATTTTAATTCAAACCTACACTATGGCGCCCTTAAGTTAAAAATCACATCTATCCCTCTTCTTTTGCTTATACTGCTACTACAGGAGTAAATTATGATAGCAATTCTAAGGGTAGACTAAATTTGGTAGCAAGCAGCTAGTGAGAACGTTCCAGGTCCTTTTAAAGAAGCGGACAAACAGCACTCCTAATGGAGGGAAATTATGCAGCGCACACTGAATTAAGACCTCTCCAGGTCATTTGAAGGTAAATATCAAGGAAGAAGTTCCAGGAATCAATGCTGAAGCTAGGTAAGGCCATAATGATCAATATTTTATATTATCAATCAATTCTTCTGTTACTAATTTTTACTGTATTTCCTGGGGGAAGCCTCCTGCTCCTTAAATAGGAGATGTTGACTGTACATCCCAGAACACAGATGGCACGTGCCCACTCTGGTTTCACAGCCTCTAGCTCAGTTCATGGGCTACCTGGGCACCAACTTTTCTCCTTGCTACTCATCACTCCTTTGTGCTATCTTCTGCTTATTTTCTCCTTCTACGTGAGTGCAATTAAGTCATATCCCTTAATAGTACTATTATTAGTTCATGAAAAAGGTCAGGACAGAAGGCTAAATCAACTGGCCCAAAATAAAACAGACCTGTAGGCTTTTATAATGCTACCTGTGCTCCTTCTCCATTTACCATTAAGTCGCCCAACAAGCCCAAATCAACGGGACAGCCATCTGACTACCTGAAGTGCTTACCTCCACCACGATAGATACAAGGGCATTGCCAAGAACAATGATGAGCATAGTTACACGCCACTGATACGGTATACATACTATCTGTAAGACAAAAAAAGTTCAAGTTAAAACTGCTCTATGTCACTGATATTATAGCATTATATCATAATTTCCAAATTCACTGAATTCCTTTATGTTCCAAACACTTCACACACATTATCTACTTAATCTTCAATAATGCCACTGAACATATTTTGTCCACTTTTCAGATGATAAAACTAAAGTATAAGCAATCAAGGCTTAAGAAATATTAAGCAGTTGAACACAGTAAAATCCTATTCACTCAGACTCAAAAGCCCCTTCTCTACTACACCATGAAATTCTAATAAGTATCTATCTTTTTATCTTTTGGAGATATTTTTGCTATAGGGCACATGTGCTCGCTAGAGACAGAGAGAGGGACAGAAAGAGAGAAATAACCCTCTAGGAGGGATGGCCAAGCCACAATCTCTTCTCTTCCATTTTCTTCTTGGAGTCTTGGGCACACATACACGGACCTAGCATGAGTTTTAAGCTGTTCAATCTGAGACTTTCGGTTGGACTATGTGGGAGTCCAGCAACATAACCATTATGCCATCTGCTAGTCCCCCCTCCCCCCTTTAAAGAGAGATTTTTGCAATAGAACACGTGTGCTCACAAGATAGACAGAAAATGAGAAATCACCACCCCCCCCAGGGGAATGGCCGAGTCCAGGACTTGAACTGCAGTCAACTATGTGGAAGTTCCAATATAACCATTACATCATCTGCTATTCTCAGTAAGTCCTTTTGTTGGGGGGGCGGGGGAGAGGTTTTTGCTATAGGGAGTGTGCACTCGCCAGAAAGACAGAGACAGAAAGTGAGAAATCACCTCCCAGGGGGGATGGCCATGCCTCAATCCCTTCTTTTCCATTCTCGTCTTGGGATGTTGGGCATACACGCACAAGCACCTAGCGTGAGTTTAAGCCACCAGGTCTGGGACTCAAACCGTAGTCAACTACATGGGAGTCCAGCGACATAGCCATTATGCCAACTGCTAGTCCCTCAGTAAGTCCTTATTTCTAAAATAAAAACCTACTTTTAAATAATAAGGCAAATACCAATCTAATAAAGAAGTACTAGACGAAACATTAGAGATGAATTTATATAAGAACAGTGACCAATTTAAGAAATACACGCCAAGTTTTCACTTTTAAACCTGATTCATTTCTAAGGTCCAAAAAATAAAAGCAGAAAGCAAACCAAAAAATCCCATTATGGCATTCATCCCTTTAGTCAGCAAATATCTATCCAGTACATAAGATAATCTGTGAAGTGCTAGGGAGTGGCATAATCTGTTTTAGGAAAAAACACCATTGCCCTCTAGTGAGAGAGATGGAGATGGGGAGACTGCTGCAATGATCCAAACAAGAAATAATGGCAGCCCAAATCAGAATAGTAGCAAAAAATCAAGAGCAAAAGGAACTGTAGTAAACACAGATTCACAATGAGAAAACTAAAGACTCTAACAACTGAATGGCTAGGTAAAGAGAGGGAAAAGACAAAGACAGGCACATGTACACTCACTCTGACTAGGATAAACAGTGGTACCAAGAAAACAGGAGAGGTAGGGTTGAGGGAGAACATGAAGAGCTTGATTTTTCAGATGCTGAATTTGAGGGATCTGTTGGGTGGAACGCTCAGTAATATTCCACGTTAGCAGATATGCAGCTCTAAAGCTCAGGAGCGAGAGCTGAGCTGAGCATATAAAGGTTGGAGATTTTTAACATTAGGAACAGGCGAGGGAGCAGCACCACAATGGAAAATGAGAAGGCACAGAGGCAGGAAAAAGCCACAAGAGAGCAAAGTGATGCAAAACTATAATGAGAAGGGAGTTGGATCCCACATGGGCAACCATACAGTCTGAGTCCTGGACTGGTGGCTTGAGAAACACACTAGATGCACATGTGTGTGTGCCCAAAATCTCACAAAGAGGAAAAAATGAGAGAGAAGGGACTGTGGTGTGACCATGCCCTATGGGGGCAAGTGGGGAATAGGAAGGCCCTTTTTCACTTTCCTTCTCTCTCCCTCCCTAGTGAGCACATGCGCCTATGGCAAATTTAAAACATATAATTTTCTCTGTAATGAAGTGTGAAAGGATTTAAAATATACTATTGTTTATATTGGGTCACCGGGAAAGTCATGCCACATCTTTGCACTGAGAAATATATCATGACTTTCCCAATGACCTAATAACAGGAAACAACCTAAATATCAAAACGAAACTAGTTAAACACATAATGGAGAGGTCCATCTAATAGAAGATTCATTCTTTAAAACTCATATAATAGCTTTAATACCTAAATTTGTCAATAACACAGAAGAAAGAAAACCTAAGTCTGATTTCATTCCTGTAACAGATGTGAAATATCCAAAAGAAATTGTAGCACCTCAAATCCATGAAGTTTAAAAAGGACTGCATCACGACCAAATAGGATTTACTCTAGGAATGCAAAGTTGGTTTCAACATCTGAGTGTCAGTCAACTCCAAAGAATGGAGATTGTAATTATTTATTTATGCTGATAGCCTAAACAAAAGAATCTAAAACATCTACAGAATCTAAAACATGAAAAACTTGACAAGGCTTCTCAATACAAAATAATTAAAAAATCTGCAGTGAATAAATAAGCATGAATGAATTACCAAATGTCATTTTAAATAGCTATCACTTATCAGTAGAACAGAAACTATAACAATTCAGGAATATGTAACAAAAAAAGTACAAAAAAACTTAAAGAAAAAAATTATTAGTTATTGAAAGATACTGAAGGTCCAAAGAAATACAGATATTGTTCACGTAAGGGAAAATGAATCAATTCTCCAAATATTAACTCAGTAATTTAGTAATTCTACTAGGGTTCTTCCTAATATTTAAAAAGCTAAACTAAAGTCCAAGAGGAAAAACTCAAGAAAGTACAAAATATCATGATCAACAACAATGTGAGATTCCTTACAATGCCTTAGTAATTTAGACAATGTGGTACTGTCACAAAGAGAACTAAGTAAGAAAATACAGAGCTCCTCACAACTAAGGGTCACATACAGTTTTGTCACTTAACGAAATGTACCCTTAGGAGATTCTGTTATGTGAACGTCATAGACTGTACTCACACTGCCAAGAGAGCAGGTCATAGCAATGATTGGGGGCAGGGCTCTACCAAGGCATTTTTAGGCAAGTGAACACATAGTGAAAAGGTAAACTAAAATCCAAAAACTAAAAATGGCCAATAAACATAAGCAAAAACACTCAACTCTTTTAGTAATTTAAAATTAATACTATGAGCAAATTCAAGCCATCATGATATAACATTTTACATCCACAAGAACAAGACAAAGTACTAGTACAACTATGCAATGAGATTCCCACACATTGAGGGAAGTATGAATTGATACAATCACTTTGGACAACTAATCTTAGAAAGATGGAGTGCAAGCGCACAATCACATTAGAATGTCTACGAGAAACCCTTGGTCCCGAGTGGTATACCCATAGAAGGTGGGTAGCAGTAGGAAGAGTGTATTATCACTAATATTCTTTAGAAATGCTAGCACATAGCAATATTTAAAAGATCTTTTTTTTTCATTTCTTGATAGTGTCTGCACATGTATGTCTGTGAGAGAGATAGGGAGAAGCAACCTCAACAGGGTCTCATTATGCCAGGATCCCCTTTTCCCAGCCTCCAGCTCCTGAAGATCTTGGGCACGCACATACATGCCCAATGTGTTCAGGTTGACCAGGTTAGGGATATGAGCCCAGCACAGCAGCTCCGTACGCAAGTGACTGCACACCCGGCTGCCAAAGCAGATGGCTTTAATAGGCTTCCTTACTGTTTTTAAATTCTTGCCTGCAGCATACCACACTACACTGCTTGTATCGAGGGCGAACTGCTTCCACCACCACTTCATGGTGCACCACCACTTACTCCCATACCCTAAGTAACATGTGAAAAGAATGTTCATAGCAGCACCATTAAATACAGCAGAAGACTATAACCAACAGGGAAGTGAATTACAGTGCATTCTCTCCCTCTTTTTTTCTTTAAGATTTATTTAATTCCATTTGTTATTATTTTTTAATTTGACCAGAGAGAGACAGAGAGAGAGAGAGAAAGGGAAAGCGAGAAAGCCCACCAGGTCCAGGACTTGAACTATGGTTCCCCTGTGAGAATCCAGCGTCTTTAACCACAACACCTGCCAGCCTATATAAGAATATTATATATTCTTATAATGGAATACTACATAGAGGTGAAAATGAAATGCATATATCAACAAGAATAATGTTAGAAACAATGCTGATGGGGAAAAACAGCAGGTCAGAAAAATACAAAGAACAAGATACCATTGTTGTAAAGTGGAAAAGCTAAACTATGTTTTAGAACTCTCTCTTCCTATATATAGATACATATGTCTGTAGACTATACCATCTTTGTATTTTACTGACTTGCCTTTTTCCCATATGTGCATAAAAAACTTCCCCTAAGTGTGTGTGTGTTTGTGTGTATGGTTTACTATGTAATAAAAAGCAAGAGAATGAGGGGCAATTTAGAATGAGCTTTCCTCAATGTCTCTGGAGAAAGGTATGCAAGAGTGCCTCATTGATTGGTAATGTTACTTTTTAGGATAGCTGATGGGCTCCTTATGATATTATTTTATTATTATGTTTAACATACAGATGCATGTTCTTTTGCATAAAAAAACAAGTACTTCACCATTTGCAAAGTTTTTAAGTAAAAGCAATAGGGGCCAGCAGGTGGTTAAGGCAGCTAGATCCCACATGGCTGACTACACAGTTCAAATCCCAGACACAATGGCTTAAAAACATGTCAGGTGTTTGTACATGTGTGCCCAAAATCCCAAGGGATAATAATGGAAGAGACTGCGGTGCGGCCATACCACTTGGGGAGGTGGTATGTTACCCTCTTTCTCTGTCTCTGGCACACACATTTATCCTATAAACCAAAAGAAAAAGTAACAAATGGTCAGAGAGGAAGAGTCAGCATGTGTAGAATATTCAGGAAATAGGCTGGCGGGCCAGCAGGTGGTGTGGAGGTTAAAGCACTGCATCATACGTGGCTGACTTCACGGTTGGAGTTCCAGACCCAGCAGTTTCAGAATCATGGTGGGTGCATGTGTACGCCCAAAATCTCACGAGGATAATGGAGGAGAAAGGACTGTAATACAGCCACCCCACCCTGGGAGTGATTTCTCACTTTCCCTTTTGTCTCTCTCTGGTGAGTACAGGTGCCCTACAGCAAAAACTTAAAAGAGGCAAGAGGTGAGTGGTAAAGGTCCAAAAGGTAAACGGATATCACAACCACGACTTTTTGTTTTTAAAGACCAACGACTGGGCCAGCAGGTGACGTGGTGATTAACACACTGGATCCCACATGGCTGACTGCATGATGGTGTCCCAGACTCAGAAGCTTGAAAAACACACCAGGTACGTGTGCACCCAAAATCCTGAGGAGAATGGAGAAGAGAATTACAGTGTGGCCATCACCCCCCAGAGAGATGCTTTCTCACTTTCCTTCTGTCTCTGTCTTTCCAGCAAGCGCACACACCCTATGGCAAATTAAAAAGACCAGGGGACATTCAAACTGTAAACAAAAGTAAATGGAACCAGAAGCAGAGACTTAAGAGGTGTAGCCAATAAAAGTTGTTATTTTAATTATGTTTTTAATTTTAAAAATTATCTTTGATTACTTTAACTGCATCTTAAAATATCTGGAAAGAGGGACCAGCAGTTGGTGTAATGACTAGGTCGCTGGACTCACATGTAGTCCACCATGGTTTGTGTCCTGGACCTGGTGGCTTAAACTCATGCCAGGCGCGTGTGCATGCGTGCCCAAGATCCTGAGAGGAGAATGGAGGAGAAGGGTTTGCAGTGTGGCCATCCCACCTGGGGGGTGATTTCTCGCTTTCTGTCTCTCTGTCTCTGTCTGTCTGGTGAGTGCACGTGCCCTGTAGCAAAAACCTCTCAAAAAAAAAAAAAAAAATTGGAAAGAGATCCTGGGAAAAAAAAAAAGATACAGACAATTCAGTCTCCTTCCCTAGGAACGTAAGAAGGGGATAGGTCTTAAGTCACTGTTTAAATTTCACATACTACTAGCTAATGTGCTACCTTCTGCTGCTGTCTTCCTACTACTTTCCCAGTTGCAGTCAATCATCAGACAACCAGTACTAAACGACGTGACTGAGCCTTACCTGGAGAACATGGTCCACAGAGGCAACTGGATGCAACATGATGAATAGTATGAAAACATACAAAAAAATCACAGATGTAACAAAAAAATCTGGAAAAGGTAAAACAGTTAATTAGAAAGTTCCTTTAAATAAATATACCCATTAATAACTGGTATACTGACAATCCTAAATTTAGTTTTGAATACTTCTATTGAAGTTGGTGACATACATAAAGTGATCTCTTATTTCTTGGAGTATGAGACATTGTTCAGGCCCGCAGAAGATTTGTGGATATAATGTGCTGTTAGACATCTAAAGCCCACTAGCTTTATTTAACCTTAAGAGCATGTTGGAAAATAATCGACAGTTAAAAAAAAAATACAGATCATTACGAACATTTATTTGTGTGCCCCCAGACAGCAGCTACTTAAGATAATGAAGTCAATTATTTCACTGAGACTATTAGATGGTCTGGAAAATCATGATGCATTTTTGCATAGAAAAAAATGCCATGACTTTCCTGACAACCTAGTAGAATATGTACAGCAAAATACAATTATCATTTAAAACATGTACTTAGTGATAATTATTGTGGATTGCAAAATGCTGAGTAACATTCATTTTCATTAGTAAGTATATCACAATCCTAAATAGAGGCATTCTAAGTTAATTTCAGTATATTTCTGGTAAGTAAATCCATTGTATTCATTTACTTAATCGATGAAAATATTTCTACAGGAAATGTTAGCCAAAAGCTAGCTAGAAATAAATAAAACTTCTCTTTCTTAATAAACAAACAAACAAACAAACCTATTAAAGAAAAGAAAAAGTGGAATCAGGCCATGGTGTGGCTGGACTGGTGTGGGAAGTCACAGGATGGTGTGCTGGCCCGGAAACTCCTTGAGCAGACGAGGTGTACGATCTGGGCTGGCTGGGACTGGAGGTGGACTGAAGTACAAGAACCCTGAGGACTCTGTTTGGGACTTTTTGTCTCTCTTTCTCTCTCTCATGGAAGAAGTATACTTAAAATAAGCTCACGAAATAAAAAGAGAGCCAATGATGTGCAGACCACTCAGAAGAAAAGTACAACCACCATAGTGTGAACTAAGGAATCTGTTTCCACTCCCAATTCTCTTTGAAAAAATTATTTTAATTAATCTCATTACCATTTTTTAATTTGCTACATGTGAACTCACCATGAGAGAAAGAGAGAGAGAGAGATAGAGAAAGGGATAAAGCAGGATGCCAGGTCCAGGACTCAAACCACAATAAGCCACGTGGGAGTCCAGCACTTTAACCACCAGGCCACCTGCTAGAGACTCTAGTTCCAATTCTAACTCCTTTAAAACAGATTATACAGGGACCAGCAGTTAGCATAATGGCTATGTCGCTGGACTCCCACGTAGTTAACCATGGTTTGAGTCCCAGACCCGGTGGCTTGAACTCACGCTGGGCGCGTGTACATGCGTGCCCAAGATCCCGAGAGGAGAATGGATTGTGGGGTGGCCATCCTCTCTAGGGTGTGATTTCTCGCTTTCTATCTCTCTGTCTCTCTCTGTCTTTCTGGCGAGCGCACGTGCCCTATAGCGAAAAACCTCTCAAAAAAACAACAACAACAAAAAACAACAAAAAAACCCCACCAGATTATACAAACAAGAGTTGGAGCTAGAAGTAACAGGACATGAAAACCAGGATGCTAGTGGCTTTAAAATTTAAATGTAAGGTGGCAACAACCATGATCTTAAAATAAGACAGTAAACATCTAAATCATTAGGTTCATTCTATCTGTGGAGATCTATATTACTTTGGAATGAGAGTTATAACTACTCTCTTCTATATCATTTTTAAAGTGGGGAAACAAAAGTTGTCAAAATATCAAACTTACAATTCTTGTAGCAAGGTTGTCTGAAAGGCTTTCCTTTTGAAAAGGCAACTGCCACTATGAGGTACTGAAAACTGGAGATAAAAAACACTGTGGTGTTTTCATAATTTTGTATATTGTGAGCATCAAGTTCAGTTTCATTGTCTGAATGTGAAGAATTCCAATGTAGGCTTCTTGATGTATTGCAAGCACTAAAACACAAAAAGTTTTGCTTCAGTAAATATAAAACCAATTTAAAACATTTTAACCTCAACTTCCTCTTGGATCCCTGTTATAACAAACAGAAATAAATGGCTGTTTATAGCAAACCATCTAATAATACCATGAAAAAAATTTAGGACAAATATTAATGGAAAAGTTTTAAGGATATTTTTCCTCTGTAAGCAGCTATTCCAATCAGTTAAAAAAAAAACTAGAATGAAATGCATATTAGTAAGGTTCCTTCACTTTTTGCATTCTTGGAGTTATTTTAATAGTAAATAGACCATGTACATGACATTTGCTCTACCACTTTTTAGCCATAACTGAGAAATTATTATTTAACCTCTCTGAACCTATTTCTTGCCTTATAAATATGAATGCCAGCTGCTACATCACAGGCTACTGTGGGGATTGCGAAAGATGACTTGAGTAAGTGCCTAGGCAAAGCACTTGCAACTGAGATGGCCCTCAATCTTCTCTACCCTGGCTCTGCCTCATTTCCACTTGCAGGAGAACAACACTGTCAGATACACACAGAACTAGGTACAAGAAGCCCCAATATCCATTGCTAAAACATTCACTACTACGCACACATGTGAGAGGTAACAAAACATTAAATCTGCTACAAATGAACCCTAGAAAGATCCTCAAGACAACCCCACCTTTTCCTTTTCATGTGCAGTGTTTGTACACACCCATAAGAAAACAAGATTAAATTTCTTTTTGGGGGGAGAGGTTTTTGCTATGGAGTGTGTGTGCTCGCCAGAAAGACAGAGACAGACAGAAAGCAAGAAATCACCCCCCGGGGGGATGGCCACGCCACAATCCCTTCTCTTCCATTCTCCTCTTGGGATCTTGGGCACATGCGCACACGAGTCCGGCCTGAGTTTAAGCCACCGGGTCCGGGACTCAAACCGCAGTTAGCAACATGGGAGTTCAGCAACATAGCTATTATGCTAACTGCTGGTCCCAATTTCTTTTTCTTTTCTCTTTAGAGATTTTTGCTATAGGGTGTATGTAATCACCAGAGAGACAAAGAGAGAGAAACTGAAAGTGAGAAATCACCCTCCCCCCGGGGAGGGGTGGGGGGACACGGACGACCATGTACCAGTCTCTCCTCCTCCATTTCCCCTTGGGATTTTGGGCTCCCAGGTACATGCACTTGGCCGGAGTTTAAGCCACTGGGTCCGGGACTCAAACCGTAGTCGACTATGTGGGAATCCAGTGACATAACTATTATGCCGTCTGTTGGACCCAAAGTTCTTAAAACTTTTAAAGACAATCTCCCTCAATCAGGCAAACTAAAACTTCATGTTTACATCTGAAAACTTAATCCTATGAAATTATGTTAGTAAATAATATACACATTTAATCACTTAAAATAATGTTACCATAATTTGTAAACTGTAGAATATCCTACAAATAAACAGAAGAATAATACCTTTCTCAAAATTGAGATTTAATCGTACACTGGGGATAGAAAAGTTAGAAGTATAGACCTTCTGGGTTTAGAAGAGACCCTCGAGATTAATTCCAATGTTATCATTTCACAAATAAGAAAAGCAAGGTTCAGTAACAAATTAAGAAATTGGCCTAAGGTTCACATCTTAGTAGTAGTAGACCTCGCCAGAACAATTTCCTACATATGAAAGGAGTTATCATGATATAAAGGCAAATAGAGGCTACATTAGTTTAAGCATTTTAAATCGAGCTACGTGCAAACATTTATATAAATTTATAGATTTTTTTGTTGTTGTTGGGTATATATTTATGTGTGTTCGGTATTTTAGGGTGTTTAGGGTCTCACTGTATTATGATCTTCCTACTTCAGCCTCGAGTAGCTGCAACCATACAAATGCAAGAACACTCCCAGCCTTTTAGGGTGGGCAGGCACCTATGTGGCCTCAGCCTTCTGAGAAGCTGGCTCATTCAGCTACCTTACCACGCCACCAGGCTCAGTTTTACATAGCTGTACCTTGTACACATTTTACACAGATTCTTGCATGTAATAGCCGACTTACTCTGAATGTGGCTGCCATACTTCATACCAAGGTTGTTGCTTGACCCAAAAAAATCCCAAAGATTGAAATCCAATGCAGATGATAATCTGAGACAAAACGGAGAAGAGAAGAGCCCCGGATATAAGACCTGAAGGTGGCCTTTGTGCCACGAGTTCCTTCCAGGCAGGATTTAAACTCACTATGTTGAAAAGAAAATAAGCAGAGATTTGTATCTAAATTAATGTCACTATAAAAGCCACAATTAAATCCATTTAGAACTTTAAAAACTTGTTTCTAACAGTTTTTTAAAATGAATTTTAAAACCAAATAAATTTAAATGTTTATATAACATTAGGTCACCAAGATAGTCATGATGTATTTTTCTACTTTTTTTATGCAAAAGTCATGACTTTCCCAACAACCCAATAAACTCCCAAACCAAGCCACATGTCATACCTAACTAAATCATCTTGAAAGTGAACAATTTAGGCTTTTTCAAAAATGGCTCAGGAAGGGGCCAAATAGAGCTACAGAGATAAAATGCAACACTCTATGAGGCAGATCCACATGGGCAGGTTCCTGGTTGGCATCTGCAGACCTTCCCAGGATGCCAGGCATTTGCATGTCCATGAGCTGGGGTGGGGGAAGGGGTGGTTGAAGCTGGGAGTGGATCATGGCATTAGGACCTTGCCAGGAATACTGTATCTGTCTCTCTTATTCATGGTATAAATAAACTAACTTTAAAAAAATTGCCTTAGGGCCAGCTCTGTGGCCTGGTGGTTAAGACAGCTGAATCCCACATGGCCAACTTTTGAGTCTCTGACCTGGTGCTTGAGAAACACACCAAGAATTGTATGCATGGGTGCCCAAATTCCCCAAAGGAGGAAAAGATGGAGAAGGGATTACAGTGTGACCATTTCTCATGGAAGGGTGCATTACCTCTCTTCCTGGAGAATGCATGTACCCTCTAGTACACATACACAAAAATAACCATGGTACTTTTTACACTTCTATTGAAATTCAGAGAAAAAGCTAATACACATTAAAAAAATATATACACACACACACAAAAACTAAAAATTAATCACTACTCTTATAAATAAGTCTGTTATTATTTCCTGAGTCCTTAATAACAAAGCTATAGTTAATATTTCTTTCCCTTAAGACATTAACAAAAGGGGCCAGCAGGTAGTGTGTGTTGGTTGAGGTGTTGGATTCCCACATGGCTGACCATGGTTTGAGTCCTAGACCTGGAGGCTTACTTTCTCACTTCTCTCTCTCTGGTGAATTAAAAAACAGCAATAAACAAATGAAAAAAAATCTTTATTAAAAAAAGACATTAACCAAAGTTTGAAGCAATATAAACACAGCAGTAAGATTAACAAAGGCTTTAATCACTTATTAACGTAGTTTCTACCAAGTTTTCACTCTGTCAAGTTTCTCTTTCTCAGACCAGCAGGTGGCATGGTGGTTAAGGCACATAGCAAGCCACAGTTTGAGTCCTGGACGTAGTAGATTGAAATCATGCTGGGTGTGTGTGGATGCCCAAAATCCTGAGAGGAGAATGGATTGCAGTATGGCCATCCCCCTGGCGGGGGGTGATTTTGCACCTCCCCCCTCTCTCTCTCTCTCTTGGGTGAGTACACCTGCCCTAAGGCAAAAACCTAAAAAAAGAAAAAAAAAAGGTTTCTTTCCCTTTATAATTACAGTTGACCCGGAACAACACAGTCTGAACTGCACAAGTTTACCTCTACGCTGAGTATCCTTTTCCATAAACAGTCTGGAAATATTTTCGGAGATTTGCAATAATTTGAAAAAACTTCAGTTTAAAGAAATGTAAACATATATATAGTATTAAATTATAACTGCATACAATTTGTACAAGCCAAAGATCTGATGGGTGAGGGACTAGAAAATGGGGATCATGGCATGACCAGACCTTTTGGAGGGTGTTCATTTCCCTCTCCTCCTCACATGCACACACGCATACTCTATCATGAATAAAGAAACAAATTTTCAAAAACATTAGTTTGTACTAGACTTTTTTTTCTTTTCCCTTTTTTTTTTTTTGAGGGGTTTTTTCTATAGCGCGTGTGCGCTCACCAGAAACACAGAGAGAGACAGAGAGACAGAAAGCAAGAAATCACCCCCCAGGGGGGATGGCCATGCTGCAACCCCTTCTCCTCCATTCTCCTCTCGGGATCTTGGGCACGCATGCACACACGCCTAGCATGAGTTTAAGCCACTGGGTCCAGGACTCAAACCATGGTCGACTACATGGTAGTCCAGCAACGTAGCCATTATGCTAACTGCTGGTCCCAGTTGTACTAGACTTCTATAATAACTTCACAGCCATCTCCTGTAGCTATTGCAGTGAGTCCAAGCGTGCATCTGTTTAAAATGTCCTGTAACACTAATCATCTCCACGTGAACAATTTGTCTTTCTAATAAACTGCATATTGCAGTAAAAAGCAGTATTTCTCATGGTTCTTATGTACTGTTCATCATTTCAAGTGCAACAGCATCAACCTGGAATAATACTGTGAGGCCTATAGCAAGTGTCACTAGTGATGCTGGCAGCACTCCCAGCAATCAAAGTCATGACATTACAAGAAAATCTTAGATCGCCTGGTATATACCATAGACTGGGTTCTGTAGGTGCAGTTGCCTGCCATTGCAAAATAAATGAGTACTCATAAGAAAAGAACATTTGTGAAGCCATCACTGTATCTACACCCTCAAGCCTGGACACCTTGCACATCTTGTGACTTTTTTTTTTAACCTGATATTTAAAATGCAGTGTTTATGAGGATGCAGGTAAGAAAGAAATACCTACAGGCTCTAATATAATTTGAGAAGAGGTAAAGTCATTATGTGACAACTTAAAGCAAAAGGAATATGAACGATCTAAAGCTGAAGAATTTATTGCCAGCACTGGCTGCTTTGATAACTTTAGAAAGTATGGCTTAAAAAAAAAGTCAATGGGAACCAGCAGTTAGCGTAATGGCTGTGTTGCGGGACTCCCACGTGGTCGACCGCGGTTCGCATCCCGGATCCGGTGGCTTGAGGCTCACGCCAGGCGTGTGTGCGTGCGTGCCCAGGATCCCGAGAAGAGAATGGAAAAGAAGGGACTGCAGCGTGACCATCCCCCCTGGGGGGTGATTTCTCGCTTTCTGTTTCTATGTCTCTGTCTGTTGAGCGCACGCGCCCTATGGTGAAAAATCTCTCCAAAGGAAAAAAAAAAAAAAGTCAAGATAACAGGAGAAGCAGCTTCTGTCAACCAAGGACAAGAGTTCCCAGATGAAGGTAAGATCACTGGGGAGAAAGGATATCTGCCTATATGTTTTGTTTTTCAATAAAAAATTTTTTTTTCTTAATGATGGAGTGCTTTTGTGCAAGTAGGAGACAGAGTGAGCATGAGCACCCCTCCACAGGGTTTCTGCATGCTATCACTCTCTCTCCCCAATCCTCTCACTCCTCAGGATCATGAGCCCGGCATGTTTTCATGGCGATCTGCCATCCTGGGGATCTGAACCCATGGTCAGCATGTGGCTTCCAGCATCACAGGCCTTAGAAACTACATTCCTAGACTGCTTGTGCACAGGTTTTTAATGCAAACAAAAGTGTCCTATACTAGGAAAAAAATGCCACAAAGAACATTTACTGTAAGTAAGAGAAATAAGCACCAGGACTTAAGGCAGAAGGGAATAAACATACTACTATATTGTGCAAACGCAATGGACTTTATGATCAGGACTTCCCTCACCAACAAAATCGCTGACCTCCAAGCGTTGAAAGGAAAAGATAAATGCCAGCTGCCAGTGTCTGGTTGTACAACAAGACCTAAACACCGAGAACCTGGGAGAGTCAGGTTCAACCCACCAGCCCACCTTAAAAGTCAAGTGTGATAGTATGTGCATGTAGTCCCAATTGGGAGGCTGAGGCAGGAGAATCACACCCAAAAAAAAGAAGGGAAGGCAGGCAGGTCAGGGAACTAAAGCCAACAGTGGAAGAGGATTGGGGCTACAAAGGATCATTTGTAGAGAAATGAAAAAGCAAAAAAGTCAAGACAGAAATGACGACACGTTTCCATAAATGTCATCACCTGCCTCCTTTCCCACTTCTCCCACCCCTGAGACAATAAGACCAGCCCTCTTCTTCCTCCGCTTCAGTCTACTCAACATGGAGATGGCAATGAAGACCACTGCCCCTGCCCAAGGGCAAAGATACAGGGTGCTCCAAGCAGAAGGGCTTTGGACTGAAAAAAGGCAGACAGATAAAAGCGGGGTCAGACAGACCCGGCATCTTTGCTGGAGAGCACCATGGCCCGTTCTGTTGTTCTGTGCTCAATCTTTTATAGGGAAGGCAAAGCCTTGTGCTTTAGCTGTGGAGCCCCTCATGGTTCTAAAGCCTCTCCTGGCCTTCTCTGGCTAACCACAGGTTTCTTCTATCTGTTAAGCCCAGCAGGAGATGATGACTTTGCTTAGAGCTTTTGTATGTTGTGTAGCAATAACACAAAGACAGTATCTACTTTAAGGCACTCCCGGCAACCACGATGATGATCCACTTCCATTTAATGAGGAGAAAATGGTCATCAAGCCATGCAATTAATATGCTTACCTGTTCTGTATGTCTCCATTTGCACATCTTACAATTATATGACAAGAATTTCATTAATTTTTTTTGTGCCATCATGTGTCATTGTCATTGTCAATGCCTTAGTATTCATCATGAAGTTCATGGTGTACAAGACAGTATGGAAGTGGACGGCCTATCCTTACACAGGCATAAGGTAAGTGATATTCAATATAAAATAATGATGCATAGGTTTTCTTCCTATTTTATAACTCCTTTCATAGCATTACATTACCACGTAGCACTGCTCATGCTCTTTTCAACTGGAGAACAGCTGTATTAGACCATCTTCACAGGCATTTTCCATTTTGTTTAGTTTTGTTTTGTTTGATTTATATAATTCACATATAACTCATATTATGAATATGACTGTATGCCTTAAGTCTCCATTGATTCCTTCATTAATAAACAGGCCTAGGTTACCATGATATAACTGCATTGATTGATTAAAGCAATCATACCACTGCTGCTTGGTTTCAGTACATGAAACCTTGTATCTCTAAGTAAATATAAATTTCTTTTCACGTTATCTTTTCATTTATTATTTCTGGTGTTGGTAGCACATACATCATCTACAGTGTTCTTTATCATATAAGATAATTCCAGGGCTGGTACTAACAGACAATTCATCCTGTAAAAGGCTGACATAAATTTATATTAATGTGGTACAGTACTATATTCTCTATTCCTTATGGTTTTAATAACCTTTTCTATAGCTTATTGCACGAATACAGTATAATAATATATATATATGTTATATATATATTTATTTATTTTTAAAATTTGCTACAGTGTGCACATGCTCATGAGAAAGAGAAAGAGAGAAGGAAAATGAGAAAGCACACCTCAGGGAAATGACTCCACTACAATCTCGTCTCCTCTAATCTTGTTTGGGGACTTTGGGCACGTATGTACAAGCAACTGCCACGTTTTCCAAGCTGCTGCATCCAGTACTCCAACTGCATGCAGTTGGCATATGGGAACCAGGTGCCCCACACGGGACACCATTAGCTGGCCCAGTCATTTATTGAGAAGTCAAGGTTCTATTGGGGCCAGCAGGTGCCATGATGGTTAAGGTGCTGGAAATCCACATGGCCAACTACAGTTTAAGCCCCGGACCCACTGGCTTGAAAATCATGCCAGGCCTGTGTACATGGGTGCCCACAATCCCTAGAGAAGAAGGGACTGTGGTGTGGCCATCCCCATTTGGGGGGTATTTTTTGCTTTCCTTCTTACTGTCTCTGTCAAGTGCAGGCACCCTATGGCAAAACCCTAAAAGCCGTATGTATGGGACCAGACGGTTGCAAGGCAATAAAACAAGACACTCTGTGAGGCAATCAATCCCTCATGGGAAGGTTCTTGTAAAGTCCAAAGACCTCCCTGAGTATGTCAAGTATGCACTTGCTCATGATCTGAGGTTGGCTGAGGGCCCGAGGTAGACTGCAGTATGAAGATTTTGGGGGATGCTGTCTCTGTCTCTCATGTTCATAATCATCTACTAAAGACTGTATGACATACTCAGTGGTTCTCAACCAGAGGCGATTTTCCTCCCCAGAAACATTTAGTAATGTCTGGTGATATTTTCAGTCACAATTTAGAGAGTGTTACAAGCACGCAGTGGGATGGCCAGAGATCCTGCTAAGTGTACTACAATGCACAGAACAGAATTATCCCCACAACACAGAATTATCTACCAAAAGATGTCAGTAAGACCAGAGTCTCACCATCATCTAAGATCAATATTCTCTCTATATTTGCTATCTTTTTACTGTTAAGAAAGACCTTTCGCATCTCTCTTGTTTATTCACTTCCAAAATGGGCAGACTTGTAAATTTTCACGTGGTTCTTATTACCATTTTTATTTATTTTGAGGTTAATATCACCAATATCCTGTGCTTCCTTGTATGATGAATCTTGAAGGACACAGCATCATTTCTGTGATAACACTGAAAACAATTCATAGCCTAAATCTAATGGGAATAGATAAGATAAACTCAAAGTCACTGACCTATCACATTTTGTAAATGTCAATGTCTAAGACACTACTCCAGGTTATAAAAAACTAAAAAGACATAGTGAAAACGAGAAAAAAAAAGAAATCTGTAGGCCAGGATTACATCTTGATAAAGGACTGGGGGGTACAGTTATTACTGAGACAAATGATGATATGGACATATGGGTTTTAGACTAGATAATATTATATCATTATTACAGTTCCTGATCTTTTAACTGTGTTAGTTATATATTTTTAAAAAGGCTTTGCCTTTTTTTGGTAGGGGAGAGATTTTTACTATAGGGAGTGTGTGCTTGTCAGAGAGACAAAGAGACAGAAAGCAAGAAACCACCCCCTGGGGTAAGGGCCACACCACAATCCCTTCTCCTCTCAGGATCTTGGGCACGCATGCACACCTGGCATGAACTTCAGGTTTCCAGGTCTGGGACTTGAACCACAGTCGGCCATATGGGAGTCCAGCAACATAATCATTATGCCATCTGCTGGTCCCAGTGCTTTGCTTTTGAAGACATACTAAATAATAAACTATTCAAAGGCAGAGACACGATGACTCAAAACTTAATCTCAAATATTCACTTAAAAAAATGGAGAAAGGACAATAAACTAAATAGGGTAAAACAGAAACAACTGGTACTAAACACATTTACAGGGAATCTGAAGCGGTATGAGTTTTTACAATTATTGACATAAATTTACCAAAGTTTAACAGGTCACATCAGAATTTCAAATGTTTTGAACTAATAACAAAAACAAACAAACAAAAATACTCACTTGTAAATACCACAACCAAAATGATTGCCAGATCAATGAAGAGAAACTGGAAGTCTCCAAGGTTACTTAAGATCTACAGAAATAATTTTTAAAACATAATTAGTTTTCAGGAACTGTTTTTTAAAATAGAATTACCCTTATTTAACTTTATTTATTTTAATTTGACCAGACCGGGGCGGGGGGGGGAGAGAGCAAGCTGCCAAGTACAGGACTTGAACCGAGGCCGGCCAGGTGGGAGTCCAGGACCCTTAACCACTACATCATCTGCCGGCCCCCAGGAACTATTTTTATAGCATTAGCCCCAGGTTATTTGTCCTAATAACAACAATTTCAAAAAAATTACACTTGGACATGGTCAAAACCTGAAACATTTGCCTTTGAAATCAATCAGATATATATTCATAACTGCTTGACTTAAATATGAATATATAAGGCATCTTCTTAAAATTCACTCAATAAAAACCTTTCAAAAGTTTTTTTGGGCAAAAAAGAGAACACCCCACAAACTTCTACACATAACATTCAACATGCTTGGTGCTGGCAGATTGCATGGTGGCTTAAGTGCTGGACTCCCACATGGCCAACTATGGTTTGAGTCCTGGACCTGGTGGCTTGCTTTCTTACTTTCTTTTTCTGTCTCTCTGGTCAAATTAAAAAAAAAAAAAAAAATAATAAAGAAGATAAAATAATTATTTTTTAAAAATTCAACATGATTAAATATTAGTATCTAGAAGCTTCCTTAATACTTCACATCATCCCTTCTGACACCTTCTACAAATGGTAAGAAGGGATAGTCTCTGACTCCTTGGGATCTCACAATGCTCATTTGCAGAAAATCTACAGAGATCACTTTGACCATAAAATCTGGTAAGAGTACTTACTGGATACTATGGTTGCCATTTTTCTTCCGATTACATACAGTCCTATAAACTACCACTAAACCATGGCCTTTTTCTGTATAGCAAAGTTACCTATAATTCTAAAATGTAACATAGCTTGACACATTGAAGAGTTTAAGATAAATAATCTGTACTAATTGCAAAAAAGAATACAATCATCTTTTATTCACAAGATTTTAGCCATAGTTGTTACCCAAACAGAAAATATTCCATATTGAAATTTTCAATCTGCTATTTAATATTTACCATCAGTAAATTTACTGATATTACTTACATAAAGTCCATTAATAGATACATTCAAATCGAGCATTCGTGCTCAATATTAAGTTAGGTTTCTTATCATTAAGTACACAATGTTAGTAGTACTCACAGAATACAAGAGAGTAACACTGAAGTACTGGATAATGCTGTACAGGGCCATAAATTTAAACACACAGAAGGAAGTCATTAGAGCAGCACGGCCTTCCCTGTGAAAACAAATGTTGGCACCTGAATAGAAGCATGTTAACCCCCTCCTCCAAGCCAGATGCATCTGACAGATGAACCTCAATTTATCAATAGCTACCACGAGGTGCTTACCTACCAAAAGAATTAAGCCTAAGCTGGACTGAGTGAGTAGTAGCAATCGATTACTAGTAGGTCCAATTCAAATGTGCTAATATACCATTAAACAAGCTTACATTACTTTCTATGATTTTTCCCTTTTACACTGTTAGAGCAAGATTACAAAGAGGTAATGTGAAAATGTTCAATTTGTACTACCTGATAAGGTTTGGCACACAGGAAATACTAGGAGTTTTAGAGGTAAAGGGAGATGCCACCGAAGCCTCGAGCTCTGATAAAGAAATGCCTCCATGTGCCCTCTTCAAAGCCTAATGGTTTCAAAAAAACTGGTTAAGTTCTGTAAACAGGATTTAGGGTAGAATAAGAACTATAAAAGTAAATCGCAAAAGTTATACTTACACCACAATCATTTGCACCATCACCGCACATCCCAACAAAGTAACTAAGGAACAAAATAATTTTAAGATTTTACTTATTTCTTAAAGTAAACAAAATTCAACATATTAAGATTCTCCTTGGGGCCAGCAGGTGGTGTGGATTCCCAAATGGCCGACCGTGGTTCAAGTCCCAAACCTGGCAGCTTGCTTTCTCACTTTCTCTCTTTCCTTCCCTCTCTAGTCAAATCAAAATAAATAAATATACAGTCGAACAAAATAATTTTTTTTTTAACAAAAGATTTCTCCAATATATTATTAATAAAAGCTAATAACTTAGGACAAGTAGGTGGCACAGTGGTTAAGTCGCTGGACTCCCACATGGCCAACCATAGTTCAAGTCTGGACCTGGTGGCTTGTAACTCATGCCAGGTGCGTGTGTGTACATCCCCAAAATCCCAAGAGGAGAATGGATTGTGGCGTGGCCATTCCTCCTGAGGGTACTGCTCACTTTCTGTCTCTCTCTGGCAATTGCACACACTCTATAGCAAAATTAAAAAAAAAAAAAAAAGAAGCTAATAACCCAGGATTCTTCCAGTGGACCTAAGGAATCTTTTCATCAGACACTAGCCTACAGTGAAATGATGTGAGTTATAACCCTAGTTTTCATAATATGGGTGTTATCATTTTGGTGTCTAAATTTCCTCATCTTTGGAACAAACAATTAGTGCCTGTTAGTACTAATAGTCTTTAGTACTTACTTTTAAGGTTATCAGTTAAGATTTGTCATTTAGGGGGAACCAGCAGTTAGCGTAATGGCTATGTCACTGGATTCCCATGTAGTCGACCGCGATTCACGTCCCGGACCCAGTGGCTTAAACTCATGCCGGGTGCATGTGCGTGCGTGCCCAAGATCCCGAGAGAATGGAGGAGAAGGGATTGCGGCGTGACCAACCCCTCTGGGGGGTGATTTCTTGCTTTCTGTCTCTATGTTTCTCTCTGGCTGGCTGGCAAGCGCATATGCCCTGTAGCGAAAACCTCTCCCAAAAAAAAAAAAAAAAAGATTTGTCACTTAGGACCTTGAAACAGAACTGCTTACTAAAACTATAAAGTGGCTTCTAACAAGATAGAGAACCTAAGTAAATCAACTCTATCTTATAGGTATTGCCTGGAGGAGGAATCAGGGATACTGTACTTCAGCTAAATGAATGAGCGCATAAGCCTCAAACCAACAAAATCCTGGCTTTTGACAGAAAGTGGAATATGGAAGATTTACTGCTGAGTAAAGCAAGCCAGGCCATGAAGGAGAGACACTGTATGTCCCCACTTAATATATACCGAACGTCCGCACTCTATAACTGAAACAGACAGGCTAAAGGATGTACAAACACAAGAGATGGATGTGAATGCCAGATGTGGTGTGTGTGGAGGAGTGGGGCCTGGGGAAGAACATTTGGAGGAGGGATATGGAGACAGCACTGTTGAGACAGGAAGGTAGTATTGTTATATTTTGATCAACTGGACCGGGGAGAAATGCTCACATATTGAAATGATCACCTTTTAAGCTAAATAATGTGATTGAATGTATTTAAAAAATGCAAATTTAAAAAAAAAAAAAAAGGGTCTTGGGGATGGCGTGGTGGTTAAGGATCTGGACTCCCACATGGCCAACTGCAATTCAAGTCCTTGACCTGGCAGCTTGCTTTTTCACTTTCCCCCCTCTGTCTCTTTAGTCAAATTGAAAAATAAAAATTGAGACCAGCAGATGGCATAATGGTTGTCACTGGACTTCCATGTGGTCAACTGTTGTCTGAGTCCCAGACCTTGAGGCTTAAAACTCACACTGGGCACATGTACGTGTGTATCCAGATCCCAAGAGAATGGAGGAGAAGGGATTACAGCGTGACCATTTCCCCTGGGGGGTGATTTCTCACTTTCTGTCTCTCTGTCTTTCCAGTGAGTGCACATGCCCTATAGCAAAAATCTCTCTTAAAAATAATAAAAAGTAAAATTATTAATTCTTAAAAAAAAAAAAAGGTTCTGAAAGTCCTCACCTATTATGGGTGACAACTGATATATATTTTAAAAAGCGCATTACTTGCTTTCCTGGGTTTGAATAGGAAACTATAGTTGATAAAAAGTAAAAGAAGAAACATCCATCAATACTTACTCTACATTTTGCAATGCTTCTACCAATTGCGTCTTCTGATCAGGTGCCATGCGAGCAAACACAGTACCATGCAACATCAACTAGAAAAAATATAAATTTCTTAAATATTATTTACACTGGGGCCACCTAACCATCCAGGGGGTAAGGTGAACTGGATTCCATGGCTGACTACAGTTCAAATCCCAGCCTGGCAGCTTGTGTGTGCCCAAAGTCCCAGTGGAATGGGGAACTGGAAAAGAAAGGATTACAGTGTGACCATGCCCCACTTGGGGGGCTTTCTCCTTCTCCCTTTCCTCTGGCGAGTACACATACCCTCTAACACTTAAAATACAAATATGTATATAACTATAAATACAATTATGTGTATTTTTATATCTATCAATATGTGTGTGTGTGTATATATATATAACCCCCCCACACACACACACACGCAATATATACGAGAACACACAAATAAATCCAGGTAACTTACCTTGGGAACAAGGTCCTGAAAATGCTCTAGTATTACTGAAAATGATTTTCCATTCATTGCAAAATGATAACGAGTCAGCTGAAGATCCTCTAAGTTATCATGAGCCAACTTAATCGGAATAGCCTGTGTATGAGACATTCAGAACATTCTCTAGGCAACTAGACAATCCTATTTTAGACATATTTGTTCCATATCATATTTTTTCACTTGATATTCATATGAAACAGTGATAACTTACCATTTATTCAAAGCAAAAGAAAATTAAACTTTAACATGATCTATTATATATTTAAAAAAGAAAAAAAGAACTAAGACTGAATTCTAGCTGCAGTTGGAAATAATCCAAAAACCAGTATCAAAGACATTCTTCATCATGTATCACTAGATACTTTTTAAAAAGGAAAAAATGTAATTACTGTAAAAATTAAACTAAAATTACTTTTCTTTAAAATTAAAGTAGAATCAACCCATGTCCTACTGGTTAAGGGAGCTCGATCCCCCATATGGTGGCCAACTACAGGCTTAGAGCCCTGAATCTGGTGGATTGAAAAATAGCCTGGGTGTATGTGCACATGCGCCCCAAATCCTGACAGGGTGGAGAATAAACAAGAAGGAACTGCAGCCCCTCTGCCGGGGGCTATGCTAGCTCCTTCTTCTTCTGTGTCTCTGTGGAGTGCACATACCCTATAGCATATTTTTAAAAAGTTAAGGTAAAACCACTTAAAAAAAAAATGTGGAATTCTTATATAGATGGTTCCGACTTACAATGGTTTAAACAGTTTTTTGACTTTACAATGAGTTTATCAGGTCATAAGCCTGTCATAAGTTGAAGGACATCTGGCTTACAATGGTTCAACTTTCAACTTTACAATGTGTTTATGGGGGTATTAAATGCATTTTTTGCTTATGCTGTTTTTGACTTATGATGGGTTGGTCAAGATGTAACCCCCTCAAAAGCATCTGAACTTTAAAACTATGGTTCTTTCTGCACATGTGCATGTGTGCTCAGAATCACAAGGAGAATGTGACTGTGACATGGCTGTACCCATAGGAGGTAATTTCTCACTTTCCTTCTGCCTGTCTCTCTCTGGTGAGTGTACTCACTCAATAGCAAAAACTGAAAAGAAAACAAACAAACAAACTACAGCTCTAAATTTGGGCTAACAATATTTAAACATTGAGATTACCAAGTCTAACCCAGTCTCTAATTAATCCAAATCTCTGAGGAGACAGGTCAGGCTTCTGTTTTCATTCCATTTTTATTTCATTGTGTATTCATGCACCACTTATTTTTTCAGACCAAATTCAAAACAAGCAAGCTTCAAGGGGAAAAAATTAATCTTGACATTACCTCCGAGTCAAGTGCCGATGAATTACTGCACTGTGTTAGCGAGTCTGCATAATGCCAATTTATCTTGGCAAGTTTCCCATCCTTTGGAGGTAATGCTTCAGCAATAATCACTTTATCCTGAGGTAGAATCATTCCACAGTCTCTAGCCACAGAGACAGCAGTCAGCATGTTGTCACCTAATTTTCAAAATATTTTAAATGCATTAAAGTTGAAATGGAAACGTGAATGTATCAAACTAGTATTTACTAAGAATTTACAGTCCCCATGACCAGACAGCAGAATGAGAACAATGTATGGGCCTTATCCTTAGAGTTCAACAAAATAAGGGCACAGTTACCAGAGAAAGCCCCATAAAATGCAAGCACACATATGCTGAATAGCCAATATTAGCATACACAATTTTTAAAACTTTTCAGTCACGTAGTATTTATACGTATATAGCACCTGGCCCAGTGCTACATAGAAAGCAGGTGTTTGCTGAAATAACCTAGTAGGGGGTGACTAGTAGTTTGTGCAAGAACCCTAGCACAGTATCAGAGAAGAGGATGCATTCTGCAACATTACACAAACTAAAAAAAAAGCAAGTAAGAATAGATGTAACAAGAAGCAAGACAAACTGTCTAAGTCAGAAAGGACTGAAGACAAGGATAGGATCACAAGGGAGAGAAGTAGATCAAAGTCTGGAGGTCCCACAGCTACCAAAACAACCAGGCAAAATACTTTCTCCCACACACTATTCCCAAAGGTGTCTTCCTATGTCCCACGGGACACAAAGCCATATGTTCTTATGACAGAGAAAGAGAAGAAAATGGGAAAGTGCCTTGAAAGAAGAGACATTAGAACAAAGAATTGCTGAGATGCTAACAGGTTCAGTTACCTTGAACTATATTCTAAGATGTATGCTATGCTCAGAGTCTAAAACAAAAATGTACTCAGGCCTTATCCATGTAAGTCTTACTGAACACATAAATGCCATAAAGTAGCTTAAATCTAATGACCTGCTAAAAATAAAAATAGAGCTGCTGCAATTTCACACAACTAAGGAATAGAAACGATCTAATATTTATTATTAACAGTATAATATACCTAGAAAATTATATGGATGTAGAAGTCACAAAAACAAACCAAAAAATTGGCTATTTTCACTGCTGTTAATTCAAGTCAGGACAACAAATATCTTATATATAAGAATTTAATTCTAACAATTAACTTAATCATTTTCTATACACCTGACAGTTATTATATTCTAGAAGAGGTAACAAATCTACAAATAACACAAGGCAAGGTACAATAAAGAGGTGCTATAAGAAATACATGATTAAGGAGGGAGAAAAGAAAGCAGTTTAAATTTTATAGTGGGCCTTTCACTAGTTTGCTATATCTTTTTTTTTTTTTGAAGAGATTTTCACTGTAGGGCGCGTGCGCTCGCCAGACAGACAGAGAGAGACATAGAGACAGAAAGCGAGAAATCACCCCCCAGGGGGGATGGTCACGCCGCAATCCCTTCTCCTCCATTCTCCTCTCGGGATCTTGGGCACGCACGCACACGCGCCCGACCTGAATTTTAAGCCACCGGGTCCGGGACACGAACCGCAGTCGACTACGTGGGAGTCCAGCGACATAGCCATTACGCTAACTGCTGGTTCCCGCTATATCTTTTATAAAAACAATTTGCTGAATCTCAGAAAGAGTATTGCAAAGTTATGCCTTAAGAAAATATTCACAGATGAAACAGGACAATGTAGGATGGAGTCACTAAATAATATGCTTTTGTAACTAACTGTTTGTTCCTCAATATGATGTAACTTGAATTCTAAGACTCTTGCTCAATTTTTTTTCAGTGTTCTTTTATAAAGTCTAACCTGTAACCATGACAGTGCGAATGTTGGCTTTATGCAAATCTTCAAGTACTGCAGGGGTTTCTTGCTTTAATTTGTTCTGCATTATAATTAATCCCATAAAGTCCATGCTGTTTTCAATGGCATCTCTGCAGAAAAAAGAAGTTTTAACATATAATGGTTTAGTCAAGAGAACAAATATTGTTCTCTTTATGTTGATAAAGTTATAAAGTAAAACATTTACATGCTGAGTAAACCATGTATGTGTTTATAAGTTCAATATCTTAAAAAATTTTAATATCTTAAAAAATTTTAATCTGGAAAAAACAATTCCTAATAAATACATTTTTTAAATTAAATTTTGCCCTTTGAAACACAATGTGTAAAGATCATTTGGAAATGCATATCTTTATAAGATACTAAACAAACTCTAGGACTAAGGAATATTCACCTTGCATCATATCCAAAAATGCAAGTACAAATCTATTCTTTACTATCCCTCATCCAACATATCCTAACATAACTAGTAAAAGGAAATAGTCATACCACAAGCACATCTGATACAGTTACAATAAATCGATTATCAAGTCTTAGATCAATTAGATAAAGCCATTCTTGACCCTAAAATGTGATCTAAGAACCATTAGCTGTCAAACGAGATCCACTTGGGACCCAGACATGGGTCTTGAGTATATTAACAATGAATATATTTACCGAGATGTTATTCTTTATTCTTCAAGTTGCTGAGTATCTACTATGCACCAAGTCCTATGCTAGTCGCAAAGAGGTCAAAGATGAAGAGGCATGATCCCTACCCTCACGATGCTTTCATGGGTAAATAGACAGGAAAACATGCAAAGAGATGCATCCAAATATAATATGCACGTTGATACTATAATGGAGATGATGTCTATTCAGTGACAGTTGTACTCTTAAGAAATCTCAAATTACCAAAATTGCATCAAAGAAGTAATTTTTTTAGTGGGGAAAGGTAGGCTGAGGTTAGGCACTAAAATTTTGGATTTGTAATACCAAGTGATTTTGCTATATAAAAATAAACAAAAGTGCTTCAAGTATACACCTATGAAATCTAAACATCTTTAAAAATGTGTAAGTTAAAGCAATGAATGCTAAAGATATTAAAACATAGTTAGGAAGTTTAATATAAATGATAATGGTGAGGGTAAAAAGAAAAAAAGCCTTGAAACCTGAAACTGCATTTCAAGGCACAAACTTGTATAAAACTACTGGATCGAAAGCACCGAGCCATTTCCTATGAGGCACCAATTTCTAGATTTAGCTGATTTCCTACTCCTCTCTCTCCTGGAAATCTTTCCTTCTAACTAATGAATAGTACCACAGTCAAGAGATAAACACTTAAGCTATAAGAGAATGCTGAAACCTATTCCTACAAAGTAGTACAGAAAGTTTACCACTGTGGTTGAAGGAGGAAAAAAATGAGGATAGAGAGATGGAAGTTAACAGCCAAGGACAGGGTATTCTGGAGAGAACAATGTATCCAAGCACATAAAAGGATGTCTAAATATGACAGAAGAACTATAGACAGCTCAGCCGCAGTGGCTGGTAAAGACACTGCTAACCCCCATAGTCTCAGGCCACATTCAGGGAAAATATACTTCTACAGAATTATGTTTACTGCTCCTAGACTATTTCAGACACATAGTAGGCACAAGAGTAGTACTTAACAAACAAGTTATTACATTTTCCAAAGAGCTGGAAGGAAAACCCTACTACTGTGTTACAATAAATAACATAAGCAAACACAGGCAAACAATCATTAAAAAAATATAATTAGATAATGAAAAATAGTGTGCTTTTATCCCAATCACCTAAAATAATACTGCATTATGTACATCTGTATACATTCAATAATAAATAACCAACTGGGTGCAAGTTATTCTACAAGACTTACATAAACACAAGAGATGTATTATTGGAAAAAAATGTAGAAAAGCCATTTGTCAATCTTACCTGCTAATATTCTGTACTTTATGCCATGTCAATTTTGACTCCAATTTTCTGTGTGCAAGAGCAATCACACGGAAGCCCTGTTTAGTGTAATCTTCTAAAACTTTTTCGAAATCAACAGGAACTTTTTAAAATAAAAAATATCACTGTTAGAATTGCTAACACAAACTTATACAAACACCAGGATTTTACATAAAGTCTGGTTGGTTCCTCACCTGTTTCAGGTTTACACAGACTGGCAATGACCTCAGGTGCTCCTTTCATGTAGGCATCCATTTTCTTACCCCCTAGCACCCTTGCAACCACACTCATACGTTGCAAAGCAGAAGAAAATGGGAACTGGCGAACAATTCCTATCTCATAAATAGCCTATATAATTTCAAAAGATGCACAAAGCATTTATTATTCTTAGGAATGAAAACAAATACACATAGGTAACAAGTAAAATTCCTTCACTTACTGGGAGTTCAAACAGCTCCTGAAAACAAAACAAAACAAGATTAAGTCCGTTTACATACTCAAATTAGGGGAAAAAAAAAAAACACTTAATAGGCATCCACAAAACATTAGTGGAATATAGCAAGGAACTTAGATTATTTGAAAGTAAAGATTCTAGAATCCCCTTCTACCACTTCCCATTTAGGAAAACAAATATCCTGAATATTTTAAAAATATTATGTATCCTAAAAATATTACATTAATTACTAAAATAAACTAAGGAGAATTTTAAATTTCATCTACAAGTCCCAACAGTCAGCATGGTGGTTAAGGTGCTGGACATCCATGTGGCCGACCATGGTTCAAGGCCTGGACCCTGTGGCTTGAAACTCACACTGGTTGTGTGTGCACACGTACGTGCTCAAAATTCCGAGAGAAGAATGAGAAATGGGGACTGAGGCGTGGCCATGCCCCATCGGGGGTGGTTTCTCACTTTCTCTTTCTCTGTCTCTCTCTCCCTGCCCTATGGTCAAAAAAAAAAAATCTACAAATAAAGTCTTTCATATATCCTTTTTATTAAATTCTAGGAAGATATATGGAATTTAAACGGATACCATTATGTATATGAATGACAAGGCACTAAGCAGCTCAATAAACAGGACAGGCAAGTATAGGTACTGAGAATTAAACCTCAACATTTAACAAGGAAGGCCTACAACACAGCAGAGTGACTTATAAATGCAGTTAAAAGTACATGTATCTGCATAAGAGTGAAATAAAGGACATGTGGCTCCTCTCCTAGCAACATTTTCAAATGAGAATCAAAGGTAAGTATCAACAATGCTATCCAGTTTCAATGATTTCCCACCATTTCTTGATTTCCTGCAGGTGTTGTTTCAGGAAGTAGTTGTTTGGGAGGACGAACCACCGTTGGCATTATTCGATTATGGAGCGCTGTTTCTTCTTCAGTTGCTTCTTCCAGAATCTAAAGCAAAAACATCCAACACACTACTTCACAAAATTCAATCCACTAGTCTAATTTTTACATTGAACATTGTAGCTGTTTTCAGTGAACTGAAAAAAATTATTGCCCAAATAACAAATGAGCACTATTAGATAAGTAACTTAAGTGAAACAAAATATAAACCAAACAAGCTAATTAGATACCTAGCACCCCAAGAGAGAGAAGACACAGAAGGAGAAGTAGAAAAAAATGAGACAAATTTCTTTCATTTCATTCCCACAACACAACATGTTGGGCTCAAAGAGTAGCTCTGCAAAAATCAGAATCAGGTTGTTGCAACTGCAAAAATTTTCAGTCTGCCATCCAGGTATTCCTCTCTGCAACAAGAGAGAATTCAAAAGTGTATGCAGCTCAGACAGGGCTACCAGACCCAATGGATAACATAGGTTGCTGCATGATGATTTGAGTGTAGAATTTCAGCTTGAACACTTCTGGTTAAACTACTACCCTAACCCCTTAAAATTTATTTAAAAAACATTTTTTGATGATGGTGCTGGGAACACATATTAAGCACATACAAGAAAAAAAATTTAATTCTATAACTTACAGAATCAATTGACAATAAAATAATGGGGAAGGAACGGCAAATCAGTCAACGTTATACTATTCTAAGATAATTTTTTCTTATATTTTATCATCTCTGAAATTGGGATACATCTTATACTATATGATATCAAGAGCAGTGGTGTCTGGTTATATGAAACCATCCCACTGATACACTAGGTATTTTATGATCAAGCATCAAAGTATCTGGTAAGATCTAGGCAACAAGGCATTAAAATGGTCAATAAAATGTGCTATGTTCAAATTTACTTACTTAAACATTTAAAAAGGACCACAAACACTGAATATTAAATCTACTAAAAATCTGTTGGAAAAAAGCTGTAGCAAGTATCAAAAATGAATCAGTCTTATTTTGCTTTTCTCTCCATAAATTATATGGGACCTCCTTTAGGAATTAATTTTCAAGGATATTATTTATTTTTTTGCCTTTTTTTTTTGGGTGGGGGAGAGGTGTTCGCTATAGGGTGCATGCGCTCGCCAGAGAGAGAGACATAGAGACAGAAAGTGAGAAATCACCCCCCAGGGGGGATGGTCACGCTGCAATCCCTTCTCCTCTCGGGATCTTGGGCACGCATGCACACGCGCCCAGCGTGAGTTCTAAGCCACCGGGTCCGGGACGCGAACCGCAGTCGACTACGTGGGAGTCCAGCGACACAGTCATTACGCTAACTGCTGGTTCCCAGGGATATTATTTATTATGAGTTTTCAGAGGATGGCAAATAGAACAATCCTCCAGTCAGCCATAACTCCCTCCCTTTCAAAATGCTTACCAAAAGAACAAAAGGAGAAATAAAGGTATAAAAGTAAAGCAGAAAAGAAAGCAGGGAGAAAAAGATTTCAAATATGAAAATTAACAGTAAACTAAAACATACTAACTAACGTAAATGTAGAGGGAAAACAGTAGCTCAAAATAAACATCAGAGAATATCAGGAGTGGTAGGAACATTTCTTACCAACCATAATAGCTAGGCTGAGCTAAACTAAACCAAAGAAAATAGTGGTTTTTAAGGCACCTGGATCTCACATGGTTGGCTGCATAGTTCAAGTCCCAGACCCAGCAGCTTGAGAAAAATGCCACATGCATAAGCATGCCTGAAATCCTGGAAGAAGGGAGATGGAGAAGGGACTATGGACTGACCGTTCTCCGTGGAGGGTACTTTCTCACTTGCCCTCTCTCTCCAGCACACACACGGGGGAAATGGAGGAGAAAGGATTGGGCTGTGACCATGTTCCATGGGGGTAGGGCAGGTCCTCTCACTTTCTAGTGAGCACATACATGCTGGCAAAATTTTAAAATACATATATTTCTCCAGTTAGATCTTTGCTAATTACAGAATTCCTTTTATAGTATGAGATAGACTGTAATCAAAACAACTAGCAGAAATAATCTTTCCACAAATTTCATTTTTATAAATTTTTATAGTTACATATACTTTAAAGTATTAAACTTACCCATCCAATGGCTTCAAACATTATCAAATCAAGTGGATCACCAGAAAGCACTCCTTCAATTTTTGTAAGTGAATGACAAGTAGCCATACAAGCAACAAACTGAGATTTTACCAACACCTCATTGCACACATTTTCTTCTGGCAAAAGAAATCTAAATAAAAAATACATTGAATTAAATTTCTAAATCTCAAAACTCAAAGTTTTATTGTGACACGATTTTTCAGGTAACAGAAATAAATCAAATAATTGGGGCCGGCAGGTGCTGGCTGGGGGCACTGGACTCACATATGGCTGACCGTGGTTCAAATCCCAGACCTGGCTGCTTGCTTTCTCATCTCTCTCTCTCTCTCTCTCTTGCTCTGTCCCTCTCTGGTCAAATACATTACACTATCTGCTGTTCCCTAAAATTAAATAATTCTTTTTTTTTTTTTTTTAAAAAAAAAAAAAGAAAGAAAATAATTTAGTTATCTTTTTTTGTTAAAAAGAAGGGGAGAGGGCAACCTTTTAAATCCCAAATTGAGCTCACAAAAAAGCAAATTTTTCACATGTGCCGAACAGTGAAAGGAAAACAAAAGGGGTGTGAACCTGAACTGATGCCATGAGTGCTGGAGGATAAAGAAGATGGGAGAAGGCCATCTCGGTACCCTAAAGACACAGGTCTAACACTCACACAGGAATAGGAAGTGAAGTCCTGGTCCCATATAAAGTGAGGAGCTGCCACTGAGAGCATCCCTCCACCCAAGAAAGGCAGTGCTTTTCAAGAACTACACATCTTTGGGAAACAGGGACACTAGAAAAAATTTGTCTACAGACCTTAAGTCATAACCGAGGGTAAGCTTGTCTCTTCTGCCCCAAGTTTACAAAAATGGCTAACACTGGGGGCCAGGAGGTGGCACAGTGGTTAAGGTGCTGGGTCCAAATGGCCAACTCCATGGTTCAGTCCCAAATCTGGCAATTTGGGGCGTGTGTATGTGTGTGTGTGTGTGTATGTGTGTGTGCATGTGTGCCCCAAATCCCAGAGAATAGAGAAGGGAGTGCAGCATGACCATCTTCCCTGGAAGATGATTTCTCACTTTCTCTCTCTGTTATTCTCTCTCCAGAGTACACACCTGCCCTATATCAAAAATTGAAAGAAAATTAAAGAAGAGAAACAATAATAATAAAAAAAGCTAATATCTACATATATTGATAGTTACTATGAGCCAGACACAGTTCTGAGGACTTTAGATACCTCACACTATAGGAAGGTATTTTATTGGCCCTATTTACAGATGAGGAAACTGAGTAGTCCAAGTAGGATCCGAGGTACATAGCCCATTAAGTAGCAGAGCAAGGACTTATTCACAGGAGGTCTGGTTTCAAGGCCACTGAACTAACCAGGATGGGTTTAGGGTTTGAAAATAAACTACTGCTTGGTCCAGAAATCCCCAAATTATGAAAATCACATAAAGCTTATCTGGCCTCACTGTTAACTGTGGCTCTCAGCCAAGCAGAATCAGAAGTCCTCTAGAGGATAGCTCCCACAATATAGCTACAAAGGAGTCTCAAGATTAACCCTACTAAGGATGAGCTGGAATTTAAATACATCCTAAGATCCCCAGGAGAGTTAACGGAGAGGACAGAATTAGCATCCCCTAAACTTGGAATAAAGAATGGCAATCTGGGGGCCTGCAAGTGGTGTGGTGGTTAAGGGCACTGGACTCCCACATGGTCCACGTGGTTTGAGTTCCAGACCTGGCAGCTTGCTTTCTCACTTTCTCTCAGCCCCTCTGGTCAAATTAAAATAAGAAAAGTTAAATAAAATAATGCTAAATAGAAAAAAAGAAAGAAATGCAATATGAAAGAATGCAAACTGGCATTTTAAAACTGGATTTAGAACAACGCAGGAGGTGGGTAGAGCCAGTACAGAAAGAATCATGTGAATTCTGTTTTCCAACATACAGTTAGGATTGGCAGATTAAGAGAAAACAAAGCACAGGGGAAAGGCCATGGTGAAAGGCAAAGAGGCTAAACACTTTCCAGGATTCATAAAAAAATACTAACCCTTAGAATCAAGAACCAGTATGAGTCCTGGACAAACAGATAAAAAGATCAGGGTGAAATAGCAGAGATCAAAGCTACAAAATTATTTTTTTTAAGTTTTTGCTATAGGACATATGCATTCACTGAAAACAGACAAAGAAAGTGAGTGAGTGAGAGAGTGAGTGAGTAAATGAGTGAGAAAACACCCCTAGGGGGATGGCCA